TGATATCACTAGAACAAGAATGAGAAAATTGCTACATTTTATAGTATATCCCTGGGAAAGAATGTAGTTCATTCTTATGTTCCATGCCAATGCTTTTCAAACCACCAAAGACTCTCAACACTTTTGCTTCTTCTCTTCTATAAAAATACATTGTTATTATATATTCGCATTTCCACCTGTTTGTTCGTGCTCCCAGATAACCGATCAGCGGCCTCCAAGGAGGACGGGGTCCCCTTTTAATAAACCCTGTCATAAACTAAAAGAGGCGACCGTGCTTCTCTTGCCTGTTGTCATGCTGTCCCTGGAATTCAGCTACAACAAAAATTTCACGAAAATGGATTTTTAAACTTTATGATTTTATTAATATTCTCAACAATGAATGATATACGGGTGGTAAAATGCCAAGTTATTCCAACAACATGATCATGTTTTGCAATTTACAACCAATATTTTGTATGTAACTTTGTTTGACAGAGCCCGAAGAGCTCTAACAACAAATATTCAAAATGTGAGGCCAAATAAGTCACACTACAACATTGTCAAATGTGCTGTATTTACGATAGATAACAGGTTTACCAAAAAGAATTACATGAAGAATGGTAAAATGAAGATCAATTCAGCAATATCTACTTGGTGATATGCATCTGTTGATGATTTTATGAGTTTGTTTCGGAAGTTTAATATCAGAATAAATTGTGGTCGTTGGGGATGTTTTAAAAAAAGGTTGCATGGAAACCTAATTTTCATATACTATATATTAGGAAATATATGTTGTAAGTTTTCACAATTGCGAGAGGCGGAAATGCCAAGATGGGATTTCATCGCATTGCAAACCAATATTAGCAATTCTTATATATATTCGCGCATTCCCATCTAAACAGCGTGGAAAAGATTATACCCATCTACACACTATAAGAACTATGTCAGATGAGCGTCATATTATCGAATATCAGTAGAGGAATAGTGCAATGGGAGAAGACATATAAGGCGGAACTTTCAGTAGTATGCAATCAAATATTCTTATTGTAGAATATATATTTAAAGACATTTCGTCACGCCAACTGCAGTCCAAAACTTTTTGTCTCTGGCTGAGCTTAGATACCAATTGGCACTCATGTAAACTGGTAAGACTGTAAGAGGCACGCGATGGAGCAGATACCAAGAGTATCCATCCCCCAGCTGTCATTTGAGTGGGTACTGCTGTTTTTATTGCAGATGTTACTGATCTTTTTGTATTAAAGATTTACTGGCATCACCGATTTAAGGATGTTGGAAACCAACACGCAATATTACGAAACTTACTTTCAACACGCGGTTTGAATGAATGAAAAAGCTGAAACTAGTAATCTTTAGAACAGCATACAAATTATATGGAATGAAATCATACACAAAAGCTCGTCAAAAACCTATAGCTCAATAATCAAGTGGAATTTGATGCATGTGCGCAAAAATGTGCGCGTTACTACTACGTACAACCGAAGCACGCAGGAAAATGTGTGTGATGTACTAGTATTCAAAACATTTGACTCAACTATGTTGGCATAACAGGTGCACATCTCGGTTTCGCATACGCATACCGGTACCTTCTATCTCCACAAGGATATATTAATTTTGCCAAAGTCAATGCAGCACTGAAAGGTTGCGGTTCTTCCAAAAGAAAACACATCTTTAGATACCAGTGGATGGTTTTACATGGCCTTGTTTGGAGTGAAATACGAGGTCAAATATTCCAATCCAATTCAACTAATAAAATATTTCCCAAGTCCCTAAGCTTAAACTAGGAAAACGAAATGCGCGCGGCAACGCAAATGTAGTTCGGAGAGCGCAATAGAAAGTGGCTAGTTGCTGTCGATGGATCTTGGCTTGTATTAGTGAAATAAACTACCATTTATCCTACTAAAATTGAATATCTGACATTGTAAAGAGATTCAATGTTACTATGTATGCAAAACTAAACCATGTAGTTATGGAATAATTGTTTTTAACAAAAAGGCGCTCCTGAAGTATTCGTACCAAGGTGGCGCACAACCTGAACATTGTATGTTTACCAGGTTAGGGTTCAGGATGTGCGTCATCTTAGACCGAATACTTTAAATCCACTTGAAAAAAATTGCTCAACGTTATATACTCCACACCCACCTGGGTAATAGTGGGTATCATTATATATGTCATATACATTATATCTAAACAATAAAAATAAAAAAAACTTTGTCCAAAAACAATGTTAAGGCCCGATTCTGCCGGACTATTACTCTTTGCTCTACTAGAGCAGGGGTTCTCAAACTTTTGGTGTTGCGGAGCCCCTGAAAAGGTTGACCATTATTCGAGGAGCCCCAAAAGAAATGTTAAAATTGTAGCTTTCCGATAAATATTCCTGAGTAAGTTAAAAGTACTTAACTTAATTTAAAGGCTAAACCTTTTTTTAATGGGGTTAATGCAAGTCATAAATAAATCAAAATTTCAAAGATAAATTATATATACTCTTACTAAAGCTGTAAATTTGACACTTGACAAACATATTAATAAACTAGGGGTCGAATCTTTTCCCTTTTGACATTTTCGGAAGTCGTATTTTGCCCAGATCTTGTGATTTTTTTAACGGCGATATCTTGCTTAATAATAATCTCGAGTGCAAAAGAACAAATCAAGTTTGACAAATTCTAAGATCGCAAAAATACGACTCCAATTTATTCATAGGTGGCAGTTTATCACGTATTTTATGTTATTTTAGAATAGTATTCCTTCATTTTAGTAATCCTAATAGTAATCTCGAATGAAACTTGAATAACTATGAGTACAATTGAATTATTACGACGAGACACTTTAAATGCTCGCATCGGCCATACATTGAATATTTTACGCAACAGAAATCTCGTTATCCGTTTTTTATAATCGCAAAGAATGTTGCGCGGAAATTTCCGATTCAGATCCCCACCACTTGAGAATCCTGGATGCGCTCCAGCTTATAAATAATGTCATTTTTCGATTCCGCCTCTTTACCATATTTCGAGGCTATAATGTTGTCAAATTTTATCAAAGCTGTTATTGTTTCTTTGAACAGTTACAAAACTAGTCATTATTTTAAAAAGTAATCGGATAGCTCACGGAGCCCCTAGGTTTCTCTCGCGGAGCCCTGGGGCTCCGTACGGAGCACTTTGAGAACCTATGTACTAGAGCAATAAATGAGGATTCCCATAGTGGAAAATCCAAAGGGTCACCACTGAATTTCCAAACTTCAATATTTGGCAATCTTTGGGCAGAAAGCAAACTCTGGGTGGGCAAGTTCGAGACTGGACTGGCCTACACCACCATTGTTGCGCTCGATTCTATGTAGCCTGGTTACTTCTCACGCACATTAAGTGATTGGAGACTTCAAAAACGCGTCCCAATACCCCAGTCCTGACCCCAACCTATATCGGTTAATTGTTACAACTAGTCCGTGCTTTCAAGCAATTAAAGTCTGTAAACAGCGGTTAAAGTGCCGCCAGATTCTTCTGTGCCTTTCAAATGCTGCCCCAATATAATTCAACTTGAAATCGGTGAATATCTTTAATAACAATCAACAGACACTTCAAATCAAATCTCGAAACATGAATCAGGAAAATAGAACTTGCCGGGTACCGGAAACGGAACGTTGTTAATGGAACGTAACGTAAATCTTGATACCGGGTATGAGGAACGTAAAGGAACGTTGTTAATGGAACGTTGTTAATGGAACGCAAAGGAACGGTTTTCTGCCAAAATAATAGATAAAACTAAATAGCTTATATGGCACAATTAATCAAATATAACAGCATTACCATTTTTACAAGCAATAACAATTCACATCAATTAGCAGATAACCATATGTCACAATTATGTACAGATTAAATCACATAGGATAAAATAGTATTCACAATACTAAAATACAGAATAAATCATACAAGATAAAACAATATTTACATACCGAATGTTTAGGATCTCCAGGCAACTCAATTCAACAATTATAATCCAAAGTAAATACAACTTAACTTATGTGACTAAATAAGAAAACATTTATCATTCTATTTGGACTATATTACAACCCTAACCTGTATCCCTACATTATATTACAACTCCAGTATGAACCGTTGATTTTAAACCCAATTAATAACTTCAATTCGAATCGTTTATCCTAACCGCGAATAGTAAACCCAATATTAAACACGATAAACAACTCCTAGCGCAATAGATTACACTGTATACAAGACAGAAGGTGCCAACTCATCGAAGCAGCGTGGCGATAATTTAGAATTCCCGGGATTAATCGAGAAACAGGACTCTGTCGCAATAATGCTGCGTCGATACGTTTGCAACGTCTGCGTAACAACGTAAAACGTCATCAAATTAGAAACACGTTATGATTCTCGCTAACATTCCCCGCCCCAGATGTAGGAACGAAGAGAATACATCTTACAATTCAAAAAAAAAAGTGAGAATCATCAAATAAGTAATACAACTAACAATGAATTACTCATCAGCTCTCTGAATCATACAAAGTTTTGCTATTGGTCTTCTTAAAAACCCATGAGAAGTTTTGACAGGAAGTCACTTGTCTGACAGCTCCAAATTTGTCTGGTATAACTTCCATAATTCTGCCTGTCAGCCACTTCCCTCTTGGTATTGTGTTGTCAACCAGTACACAAGATCATTGACTTTGAAATTGTCTTCCTTCTTCAACCATTTATGTCGAGCTTGTAGATTGACAAGTACTTCTCTGGACCATCTTATCCAGAATTGGTCAGCCAAATATTGTATTTGACGCCATCTTCTTCTCGCATAACAATCTTTCTTGTCAAATATTCCTGGTGGTAAATTTGCTTTATGCTTCAGCAACAATAAATGATTTGGTGAAAGTGGTTCTTCATCCAAAGGATCCATACTAATAGGTGTAAGTGGTCTTGAATTCAATTGACTTTCAACTTCACAAAATATAGTAGACAACGCTTCATCAGTAACCAATTGATCATGCAATAATGCAGTCATATCTTTCTTGCTGATCTGATGAGTCTTTCATAGAAACCTCCAAAGTGTGAAGCTGTGGGAGGATTGAACTTGAATATGATATCACTTTGTCTGCAAAATTCTCCCATTTTACTGGAATTCCAAATTTGAATTTCTTTCTTCAACACTTTATTTCCAGCTGTAAAATTGCTCCCATTATCACAAATAATGGTTGACATCTTGCCTCTTCTGGCAATGAATCTTCTTAATCCATTAATAAATGAATTGACATCCATACTATGCACAATTTCCAAATGCACTGCTCTAGTTGTTGCACAGGTTATTATCAAGCCCCATCTCTTCACAGAACTTCTTCCTTGCTTCACCAACAACGGTCCGAAGTTGTCAACTCCAACACATGTGAATGGTGGTTGATCTGGTGTCACACGCTCTTTAGGTAGGTCAGCCATAAATTGCTTACCCATCGAAGCATTTCTCTTTTTGCAAAAAATGCAATTACGAATATTTCGCTTTACAACAACAGCTCCATTGATAATCCAGAACTTCTGTCTCAGCAAATTCCATGTATGACTTGCTCCACAATGATGTGAACTTTTATGGTATTCTCTGACAATCAACTGTGTGATATGATGGTTACTTGGCAGTATTATTGGATGTTTCAAATCAAATTCTATGGGTGCGTTCTGCAATCTTCCACCCACTCTCAATATTCCTTCAATTAAAACAGGATTCAACTTTTGCATTGAAGGTGCAATTTTCAAATTTCTAAGCACACTTTTCCCTTGTACATCAGAATTTTGTAACTTTGCAATAACTTTATTCAACTCACGATTTTGTAAATACTTTATCAGCTCATTTTCGGATCTTCTCAACTCTTCTGTTTGCAATTCACCTTTTGAACAGTTGGTTTAGCTTGTAAATAAATTTTGAATCTGATAATCCATGCGTAGCTTTCTTCAACTTATACCATGAAGAATAATAGTTGATAAACTTGTCCAAGGTTCATTCTCTGTCACTAGATTAATTAGGACATTCATTGGCTTTTCTGAATAAATTCCAATGGTAAATCTGGTAATTTAACTGGCATTTGTGGCCAGTTCTCTTCATTCTGGTAGAGAAATTCTGGTCCTTGTAACCATGATTTCTTTGCAATCAATTTCTTTGCTGTCATTCCACGGGATGCATAATCCGCTGGGTTCAATTCACTTGGAACATAACGCCATTGATGTGGCTCTGAACCTTCTTCAATTTTTGCTAATCGGTTAGCTATGAAAGTAGGAAATCTTTTCGACGAATTGTAAATTGATTGGATAGTAGCTGTGCTATCACTCCAGAATATAGACTTAACATTCTTCTCAAATTTTAATTGACGTCTTAAAAACATATCCACTCGCACACAAAGCGCAGCAGCTGTAATTTCCAGCCGTGGAAGTGAACATATTGTCTTGATAGGACACAATCTTGATTTTCCAAGTAAAAATGAACAGTGTATCTGACCGTTTTCATCTGATAACCTCAAATATGAAACTGATCCATAGGCAACTTGTGATGCATCGCCAAAATGATGTAATTCTTGTGAAACAATAACCCCAAATGAATTCGGTTTAATGTATCTTGGTAATTTGACTTCTGATAAGTCTGGAATTGCTTTAGTCCAGCTTTCCCATGCTATTTGTTCATTTGCTCCAATAGTTTCATCCCATCCCAATTGTTGACGACATAACTCTTGGAATATAAGTCTTGCTTGCAATATCACAGGTGATACAATACCCATGGGATCAAATACGGAACTAAGAATTGCTAGAACTCCTCTTTTCGTAGCAGGTTTTGTCTTCAGCTTTGTATTAAATCCAAAGCAATCTTCTATCACGAACCACACAACTCCCAAAACTCGTTCAAAACGATTTGGGTCTAAATTTACGTTTGCTTGAATTTGTGCTCTATCCTTTTCTGGAACACAAGAAATAATTTCTTCTGAATTACTCCTCCATTTGTTTAAATGAAAACCTCCACATTCAGTAAGTTCTGAGGTTTGCTTGACAATTCTCTTCCCTTCAGATATACTATCTGCTCCAAGTAGGAAGTCATATATATGAATTATCTTTGATATTGTCACTTATATCTGATGGAAAGTCTTTTCCAAAATCTTCTGCAGTTCTCCTTAAACAGTAATTTGCACAAAATGGACTTGATGTATTTCCAAAACAATGCACTAACATCTGATGATCGACAGGAGTTTTTGTCAAATCTCCATCAGGCCAAAATAGGAATCTCAATGCATCAACATCCCTAGGCGTTACACGAGCTTGTAAGAACATAGCTTCTATATCTGCAGTTATACCATATTTGTACATTCTGAAACGTAGCAAAACAGATAACAATCCATTTGCCATATCTGGACCTTGCAGTAATTGATCATTCAGTGATGTGTTCAAATATCTTGCACCTGCATCAAATACCAGGCGTACTTTACCAGGTTTCTGTTCTGATGTAACGGGTTGATGAGGAAGATACCACGCTTTACCAATGGGTGCTTCAAATTCAGCAGCAGGAATTTTCCTTGCCCATCCCTTCTTTATAAATTCAGCCATGGTACTGCAATATTTGTCCCTTAAAACATCATTCTTCAACAAGCGTTTTCCCAAATTGTTGGTTCTTCTCATAACTGCATCACGATTATTAGGAAATTCAGGACATCCCGGTTTCCATGGTAACGGAGATTGGTAATGTCCATCCACCATCTTTATATTATCTTCCATCAGTTGTAATGCATACTTATCTTCTCTTGACAATGTTGGTGTGGGAGTCAATGATATATCTTTGAAATCCGTTTCCCACATCTCTCGAATTTGTTGTTGAAGATCTTCACTTTTCACTTCAACATGATTAACATGTACATGAAAACTTTCATTCCCAGAAGCTTTATTAAAGGCAGGCCCGACCAGTGACCAACCAAGAATACTTCTTTTTGCAACTGGTTCATTTGTAGTACCACGCCTTTCATCTTTTACCCAGAATACTTCCGGTACATTCACGCCAATCATGAGCATCACTCTTTCATCTGGTAATTTTGGAAATTCAATACCCTCGAGATATTCATGCCTTTTTAATTCAATCCTTTTAGGTAATTTATTCGGTACTGTCGGAATTTCATCCACAGTGAGCACACGATGTAATGTCACACAACCTTCCCCTTTCAGTGGTTTAACAGTTAAGTCAAGAGCGAATCCATCTTGTTTCTGTGGATTCGGTGTGTTTACAGTAGTAATGGAATAACTCATTGGTTCACCATCCATCTCTAAAAGTTCCATCAATCTTTTATCACATAGACAAGAGGTGCTTCCCTCGTCTAGGAAACAGTATACTTCAATTTCTCTACCTTGAGGTGAGGATACTTTCACTGGAACTATATTCAAGTATACTCCAGCTGAATTTCTGGTATAGTTCGTTAAGGTCGATCCCGATGTAGCAGTTTGAGTAGCGGAACTTGTACTTTGCTCTTTTCGCTTAGTATCTGCAACATTTCGATGAAGCATTCTATGATGTCTGCCACCACATCCTCTCTCAGTACATGCAGGATTCTTACGACATTGCCGTGCCATATGACCAATGTATAAACAGTTTCTGCAAATATGAAATTCACGAATTGTAGCCTCGCGTTCACTTGCAGATTTTCTTTCAAACTCTGGACAATGAATAAGAAAATGATCTTTTGAACAGATAACACATCTGTATCTATTTCTCACAAATGTACCTTTTCTCTCGGTAGATTGTTCAGGTTTGCCATCACCACTTGTTGAAGTGGAATTTGCATAAATTCTCTTCTTTTGAGGGTGTTTAGCCTTTTCCCTCTCTTTATGAGCTCTCATAGCTTTGCCCATCGATGATTGTGCCGTAATTGCTGCTTTCTTGACAAACTTTAAAAGATGTTCAAATTTTAGTTCAATGTTTCTATTCTCATAATCTGCTGCCTCTTCTTCCCATTTATTATGGTACTTCAGGGGTAATCTACATGAAAGTTGAGCAATATTGTCAAAATTATTTAGATCTGAATATTGCTTCCAATGCGACAGCGTTAGGTAACATTCTTCCATTTTATGAGAAAGATCCAGAAGACTATCTCGATCATCTGGTTTCAACATTGGACCATGTATTAACTCTTCCATATAAGTTCTGGCAATCAACAATGGTCGTCCGTAAGCTTCTCTTAGAAGTCTCTTTGCTAAAGTCAATCCTTCTGTAGGAGGATATACAGAACATTGACGAATCAATTCTCTTGCTTTACCTTTGCAAAACTGTTGCAAGTAAGTCAATCTCAGATTGTCATCTGAAATCTTGTTCTCAATATTTATCTTGAAACTATTCATGAATCTTGTATATTCTTCATGAGAACCATGAAACGAAAGTAATTCTGGTTTAGGTAAATCTACCATGTCACGCATTGTAGATGTCATAGTAGCAAGAATTGAGCCAACATCTTGTGATGGCATATTAGGTACTTCTACAGGACTCACCAAATTAGCCTGTCTCGTTCCACCTTGTCTAGTTCGAAATTCTTGATTAACGGGATTCATCACTTCCGCAACCACTTCCTGGACCGGATCCAGGGATAATCTAACTTGTGGCTCTCTAGGAGGCACAATACAATTGGTTTGACCCACTTGAGGTGTGTTTACTTCAGCCCGTGCTGCTTCACATTCTACCAATTGTGCTATCGGTGGTCCAGAATCCATTTCTTGAAACTGAACCCTTTCATTGCGATTAGAGCCTATTTCCCACACTTCCGCCTCTACACATGCGGCTTGATATTCGTGTATAGCTTGTACTCGCCTTATTTCTCTCTCTGATGCTGATTTTAATTCTTCAGCTTGCCGATTCATTTCTTCAGTATTTCGTTCAGCCTGTTCTAGCTCTGACAGTTGCTTCATTTTCAATTTTGCAAGTTCTCTGACAGCTATTGCCTCAGTTCTCTTGTAACTGGAACTTGTACTTTTGTAACTCGATGCTGTCCTTGCAGATCGAGGTCTTGACATATTAGATGATTTTCTACTAGCTATAGATTGTGGTTTTGATGGAGGATTCTCAACGATTTGTGTGCTTTCTTGTCTGGAAAGCCACTCTTCAACATGTGCTTTGAACTCTTCATATCCATAACTTTCTCTCTGGAAAGATTCTTTAGCTACTCTTTGAGCCTCTTCATCTACTGGCAGTTCTGCAACATGTATTTCATAAGCTTCAGAATACTTCACAAACATTGCATCTATTTCTTTTACTTGTGATTGTAGAAACTCCTTATTTCTTGGATTCAACATCAATTCTTCTGCAGATCTATACTGACCATTCAGATCAGCCAATAAACTTTCCGGTTCTTCTTGTGAAACTGGTTTTGCAGCCATTTCGACTTTTAAGTGACTTTCTTCACTCAATCTAGGATCAATTGAAAAGTTTGATATCTTTCAATTGCTGCTTACAATACTCTGGTTTGATTTCGAAATAGAAAACTTCAGTTTTCCTTCATTCGAAAACTTTAATGTTGCGCTCGATTCTATGTAGCCTGGTTACTTCTCACGCACATTAAGAGATTGGAGACTTCAAAAACGCGTCCCAATACCCCAGTCCTGACCCCAAACCTATATCGGTTAATTGTTACAACTAGTCCGTGCTTTCAAGCAATTAAAGTCTGTAAACAGCGGTTAAAGTGCCGCCAGATTCTTCTGTGCCTTTCAAATGCTGCCCCAATATAATTCAACTTGAAATCGGTGAATATCTTTAATAACAATCAACAGACACTTCAAATCAAATCTCGAACATGAATCAGGAAAATAGAACTTGCCGGGTACCGGAAACGGAACGTTGTTAATGGAACGTAACGTAAATCTTGATACCGGGTATGAGGAACGTAAAGGAACGTTGTTAATGGAACGTTGTTAATGGAACGGTTTTCTGCCAAAATAATAGATAAAACTAAATAGCTTATATGGCACAATTAATCAAATATAACAGCATTACCATTTTACAAGCAATAACAATTCACATCAATTAGCAGATAACCATATGTCACAATTATGTACAGATTAAATCACAGTATTCACAATACAAATACAGAATAAATCATACAAGATAAAACAATATTTACATACCGAATGTTTAGGATCTCCAGGCAACTCAATTCAACAAATTTATAATCCAAAGTAAATACAACTTAACTTATGTGACTAAATATAAAGAACAACAATTATCATTCTATTTGGACTATAATACAACCCTAACCTGTATCCCTACATTATATTACAACTCCAGTATAAACCGTTGATTTTAAACCCCAATTAATACCTTCAATTCGAATCGTTTATCCTAACCGCGAATAGTAAACCCAATATTAAACACGATAAACAACTCCTAGCGCAATAGATTACACTGTATACAAGGACAGAAGGTGCCAACTCATCGAAGCAGCGTGGCGATAATTTAGAATTCCCGGGATTAATCGAGAAACAAGACTATGTCGCAATAATGCTGCGTCGATACGTTTGCAACGTCTGCGTAACAACGTAAACGTCATCAAATTAGAAACACGTTATGATTCTCGCTAACAACCATGGCATGAAATTTGTGGATGTTGGGGTTTGTAAGCAGTTTGTGTAATCTCAGAGGGCACAAAAGAATTATTACATGATACTGACACAATAAAATTTACACTGTTACTGGTAACATTGTTATTTAAATTGGTATTGAGTGGCCTAGATACAAATGGCATGTCAGAAACAACAGATCGTTGAAAAAAAACGCATGTTATCACACAAATCAGAAACAGGTAAAGACTTCCAAGCCCTGATTGTTCAATTAATTAAGTCTCCATCCAATCCGAATGGATTTCGTACTCTGTTTTGAAGCAAGCTTCTAAACAGGCTACGTTTTTCGCTTCTGTAATGCTAGGCGTTCTCGTTCAAAGCGGGCATTGCTTTCTTTTCGTTCAGCATTATGTTCTTTTGCCATAAAATTTAACTTTGCTTTCAGCGCTACCGAAGTTTTACATGCTTCATGCAATTGTTCCAAGTTCGATGTCACTTTTCTCGGTTGATTTTCATCTAATGTGATCTTGTCTCGAAATTCTCTATTAAACTCAGTTGTTTTTCCACTTTGTGCGTCAAGTGCTCAATCACACTGTTAATTTCGATATATAAGTTGATTTTCGAATAATTTCAATTCATCGTTTGAAATACAATTTTTCATTCCACAAAATATATGCTCCAATGAGCTTTGATCGTCAATACCTTTGACAAACATGTCTTTAATTTTCTGTTCATCATCACAGCATAAAAGTAGCATTTTGCACCGTGCAATGCTTCTCTTTGGGAAGTCCAGCATTTCAACAAACTGGGTCTTGATTTTATCACCTGCAGAAATCTTGACAACAGCAGTTTTCTGTGGATGCTTGCCACTTTCAGCTCTGGGCTGTTCCAGTTCTGAAATTCCATCAGTCAAGGTTTTCGGTGATAAAATGTCTTCCTGCATTAACTTCCGTTTTGCTACTCGTATGCTATACTCGATGTGTGGCACTTCTATCTACCACCCGGCTTGAGACTCCCAATTACTGTAGTGTACTGCAATTATTTGCTGTACCGGTACTGGTGTACTGCAGTTTGTTTCCCCGATTTAAATTAATTACTGTCGTGGCGGCCACGCTGTGCCAACTCTAAACCGATGACCACTTGGATCACAGTGTGCCACAGATATTAAAAATTAACTTGTGGACGCGGTCTTTTTCCTATTATGCTCTGAAGAGACGGCACCTTCAGGAACGAATATTACAGCCTGTGTTCTCCAAATCCCCATAAACAACAGTCTACTTGACTGGATACAACCAAATGCATTATAACTTGGAAAACGTTTAACAGACGCTCAAGAATTGCAAAATCAGGTCGAACACAATAACACTCGCCAAACAGTTGGTGAGGTACGAAAAAGCCGGTAATTAATTTTAGTGTCACTCGGGTATAAACAAATGCAGTACCAATAGATTTCTAAACAGAAAGAAAACATAAATGTTACACCTAAAGAAACACGAATCAAACACAAATACAAGTCCATGTTGGGAGAGCCAGCACTAACTAAGAACTGCAAACAAGAGAGAACACGTGGCACCTAAAGTCAAACGGTAATAGTCTCTTGCAACACCTAGCGGACATAAACTCACGGGTACGTGTGCCAATAATGCGCTTTGTAAATCAATGACTATTTCACATATTAACATACAGACTGATACAGTGCGACATAAGCTCTTGCTGAGAAAGCTGTTTACCAGCCATATCAACACTCAATCGTATGTTTTCTCCATATTTCGACTTTCGCTCGAAACTGTATACTAAGTATGCGAGACTTGAGGATATTCATCTCATTATTATAGTGTGCCGTGTAACCAACAAAACTTCACATCTTGATATCTGTCCACATATCCAATGTTTTCTCCATATTTCGACTTTCGCTCGTAACTGTTTACTAAGTATGCGAGACTTGAGGATATTCATCTCATTGTTATAGTGTGCCGTGTAACCAACAAAACTTCACATCTTGATATCTGTCCACATATCCAAGGTGGATTCACACAAGAAGTTATTTTTCACTTCTACTTTTATCTCTTCTAGAGAGCTTTTTAACAGCTGCTACCTTTTCGATAACCCGGCGCTGCACAGTGATTCAGCCCGGTATGATATCCATAACAGGGACATTCTCGAACCATGCCCCAATCTGAATACAGCAGCTCATACGCTGCTGTAACCTAGTACCCTCTAGTAGTCTATGGCCTTACAGCCTGAGCCACAAAAGCGACTTCAGCATCTAAATTTCCAGCTTTGTTCTTTGAGATCTTCCTTGGCTACTAAGGCTTGATCCTTGGCATTTAGCAGAATGGATTTAAAGATGGCCATCCCCACAATGCACTGTCATTTTGAAATAATTTTCACAGGTAACACACCAGTCAATCATAATAAACTGACCCATCGAATAGTTGTTTGACGCTATACCATACTTCGCTACTCGCATCGAGTTTTCTTTTCGCTTATCAGGCCAGGTTTTGCAAGGGTACCAGTATCGGTGCATGTATTTGAACCAGCCATCGGCTGCGCGCAGAGCGGAACACACGATCTGAAAAGCTAACTAGCTCAACTATGTGGCCTGACGATTCGCCAGAACCCGTGCAGGTGGTATATTGGGTTTTGCTGTAACGAAAAAAAAGTGCGTTGACGACGTTTCGCCATCCACAATTAAAAAAATATATATAGTTAGCAATTCGAATTTTTTAGAAGCCGGCTCACTAACTGATTTTTGAATACGGAGCCAAGCTGGTATCAAAAATATCCAGCCCATACCGGGAAAAAATAAAATTTAAATGTGTTGTCGTGGAATTCTTTGGTTTAAATAAGATCCGACGCGAGTGATGTGGTGTACGAGGTCGTAAATATATAGGTATAACAGCCACTTTGACAAAGTATTATTTGAAACAAATATGTGAATACCCCACAAAACAAATTGGAATTAATAAAATGTAACGGTTCCAGGAGAAATATTAATGCATTCAATAAATGTGGTGGATTTTGCAGTAGCAAAAAAGTTATTGCTATTCACAAATCAATAATTTAAAAACACTCGACAAAATAATTCAAAACTTTTTGGCACATCTGATATTATAAATATATATATATGTTGAAGCCATGTTCAGATAATAGCAATAATAGGTATCCAATTTATGTGAAAAAAGTTATTAGTACCAGCCTGAAATCAAGCAAAATGGATTATCATGGCAAACGTAAAACACCTCTTATGTTGTAATATGCAGCTGGTGACTTTGTATACAATGATAGAATGAGTCTGGGAAATAATTATCAAGATTAGTAGAACTCCATCATAAAACACCAAACAATACAGTAAAAACTAATCCCATACCCGACTTGGAATGGTAACCGGACGAGAGGCCGTGGTTCGCCATATGGATAAGCCGTCTTATCGGCTTTCCTCTCCCCCGGGATAAATATGTAAATCCTATCCTATCCTTAATTGAAGTTAAAATATGTGTGTTTAATTTATGTTTTTCATACAGACGTCACAATTTCAATCGCCCATCAGTCAATTTATATTCTTGCTTACTGCTTTGATCACACAGCATAAATCCTCACACTGCAACTTTTTTATGATCCGAAAATACACATAATCTTATCAAAATTTACTTTGAAGTGAATTACTTTGAAGTGAATTTAAAATCTTACTGTCAATGTGCTTTCGAGTGCTGAACCGGTCCTAGGGCCTTCCCACTCAATTGATTGTTCCTCTATTTTGTTTTGTAATCTGCATTCTATCAGTTCTATAGTCAAGTATATCGTGTAATATTCCATGTGCACAACTAACTTGAATATTTATAAGTCACTCACTTAATCCTGACGCGAGACAGCGCCGTCAGAACACAGAAAAACACAGGAAGTCGCACGATGATTTTCGAAGCAATAATAATCTGTTTGCACCAAGTCAAGCGTGTCGGCGAATTCAACATCGGGAGAAATTTCCGGAGTTACACGGGGTTGATTAAATGCCTGGTCCTTTTTCCTTCCTTAGTTCTTTGAGATGCGAGAATGTAAATTTTACGAAATGATTCTATTTTTTATATTCGGTTCCAAGTCCAATACTCCACAAGTTGTCATCGTGAGCTCTACCGCAAGGCTGTCGACACGTTCATCCCGCACGAATCTTGTGATGGCCCCCCCGACCTTTGACCCCCAAAAATTTCTCATATTTTACCATTGCAAAATTTTCGGGGCTTATTTCAAGAGTGGTTTCGCGGGTTGACGCCTGTAAAATGGGGTATGTGTTTCAAACCATCTTTATGATTCATCGCATACAACAATCTGATTTTCAAATATACCGGTAAAGAAATTCAGGCTAGTTTATCACAGCTATTTCTACACTAATTTTCATTACTGCAATTAAATTAAAACTCCTAGGGAGACAGAGTGATCATTGAATTATCTGATTTTTATTTGAGTTTCCGAAACACAACTGAAAACTAACGAATAGAGTTCAGAAACGCGAAAACGAGGTAATGTTTACAACCACGCTTGAAAATCTGTCTGAGTGAGAAAAGTGTCTGAGCGGATGCGAAAAAGGGACATTGTTACGTCACTTTTTGCATCTTGCTGATTGGCCAATGTCACGAAGTAAACAAGAAAGTCGATGCTCGGGGAAAGGTCCATACAAGAAATATTTATAACAAATGATATGCCGAAAGCAATGAAAATGGGTTACATAACTTTACTATACAGAAAAGGAGAAGCAAATCTATTAAATACCTACAGACCAATAACTCAGATTATAAATAAATTCAGATTATAAAATATTCAGTAAAATTCTTGCCAACAGAATCAAAATAATTTTACCAGATATTATAGATAGAAACCAAGGAGCCGTAACTGGGAGAAGGATAAGTGACACACTGCTTATTATCAGAAATATTTGCATACAGGAACAAAATAAAGTAGGGGGAAAGGCATTGTTATCGTTAGATTTTATGAAAGCATATGATTCAGTATATTTAGATTATTTATATAGGATTTCAGAAAGATTTGGCATAAAAAATAAATTCATCATGTTATTAAAGAGTATGTATAAAGATGATGAAACTAGAATACTAATAAGTGGATATTTAAGTGAAAAAATCAAACCAGAAAGAGGAATTAGACAAGGCGATCCAATGAGTATTTTCATGTTTATCATAACGATAGAACCTCTTTTAATTAGTATAAACTTGAATGAAGATGTTAGGGGAATCGTGACTCCAGGAAATATGAACCTGAAAAATTTAGGATTTGCAGACGATGTCACACTGTTTTCAAATAAGGAAAGTTCTATAAATGAAGCATTAAAAATTATCGATGAACATGAATTGGCTACTGGAATGAAATTGAATAAAACTAAAAAAACTCATGAAACTCGGAATATGGACAAATGACCCTTCATTTCAAGACGTCATCATAACAGATACAATAGAAATATTGAACGTTAGTTTTGCCAATAATAATACTGGAAATTTAAACTGGAAAAATTGTCTGGAAAGAGTGAAGAAAATAGCAGTTGAACTTCAAAAAATACCTCTTTTGTTAGAAAGAAAATGTTTGATAATAAAACTCAAGTTATTACCCCAAGTTTTGTTTTTATGTAAATTATTCCCGATGCCAAAAAATATAGCCAAAAAAAGTGGATGAAATTATTGAAAAATTTGTATTCAATGGAAAAAGAAAGCTCAAAATAAAGGTCATCTGTAAACCAGAATGTATGGGGGGTATGATATAATTAATATTCCAGTTTTTACAATGTCTATGTATATTATGTGTGTTTTTGAATATATAGAAACTATAGAAAATAATGTGTTACTTAATGTGTTATTAATGGGGGAAGACTTGTGATTATCCGCAATTTGAATCTCAGTGTAACTTGCAATAGTATTCACAATAAAATTTTGGCAAATTATGCAAAAACATTCAACTATAAGTTACTATGGGATATTTTGAATTTGAAAACAAACCAGAAATCCTCTCTCAGAAATCAAAAGAGTAGTCGGAAATGAAATGTGTGTATTATGTAATAAAGATCCTGAATTTGTGTCACATATTTTTATGTATTGTGAGTTTACCAAGAAAATTTATGATGATTTTGTTTACTTAATTATATTAAAATTGATTAGAATACATTTTGTTACAAATTATGATTCTTGTGTATTATTAAATTTTAATGATTCTTTATTTAGTCATATAAGTAGTGTAGATTTAAATGCAGTTATTCTTTTAATATCAATAGTTCGATATAAAATTTGGATTATGAGAAATTCTATCATATTTAAAAATAAGACACCTGACATAACACTTCCTAAAAAAACAGATAAAAATGGCCCTAATGCATAGAAAAAGTATAGTAAGGTTCCAGAGTAAACAAACCTTTCGAAAAGGAATTACAAAATTTATGTGAAGCAATTACGTAGGTTTATGATAAATTTTATTATACAGTCTTTAAAAAAAATAAAAAAAAATTGTTTGATCAGCGACATAAATCCAATTGTTACGTCATTGTTAACCTTTTGCTGATTTACGGAAATAAACAAGGAAATTCATGCTCGGGGAAACAGCTATCCGTGACTCGGCTGCCTAAAACCGTTTTGACCGAAAATCGCCTGGAGGTATATAAAATGTCCTTCGCAAGATATTTATACTAAGGTCGGTTCCGGTAGATTTAGGTGGAAATTCTTCCCCGTTCCGGTAATTTAGAGTCCCGTTCTGGTAATTAACAGAACCCAATTTCGCATATTGCTGTTTTGGCAAATTAGTGAGATATTTTATAGCGAGTACCGGTACCGGTACTGTAATAAACCAAACTCAAAGTCTTAGCTCTGTAGCTAGAATCGACAAGGTCAATTCGAGATATCACTGATCAAAATCCTAGGATGGCGGTAGTACGGTAATCAGGTTCATTGAAATTAAAGTCTATGTTAAAAGTCATCTAACTGAATAAAGAGGGACATGGGTTTAACCGTTTAATGGGAAATAGGGTTTTTAAGGAATTCATTTTTTTCTGCATATATGTCAGCATGTAGCCTAAGCTTAAAGGATGTTGTCAGAGTAGTGTGCACAGGTCATGCCAAACTGCTCTAGTAAATTATAAATGTTTTGATTATTTCAGATATCTAATATATAATGGATGTACTATTTATGTTATTTGTTTTGCAACTTGTAGTTGCTTCACATTATATATTTAATTGTCCTTATACAAAAGTGGAAGAAAGTTTCAATCTCCAGGCAATTCATGATATTCTCATCTACAAATCTAACATATCGAGATATGACCACAATGACTTTCCTGGTGTGGTACCACGGACGTTTATCGGCCCTTTAGTTGTTTCAATATTAAGTTCTCCATTTGCGATCATCGTTCAATCATTTGGTCTCGACAAAATAGTTCTTCAATATGTTGTACGACATGTTTTGGCTTTCTTGGTTCTCTATGGATTGAAAAGACTTCAAAGTGCTGTTAAAACTCTGTATGGATTACAAACTGCAATATATTTAGCAATTCTTAATTTGTCACAATTTCATGTTTTATTTTATGCATCACGACCACTGCCAAATACTTTTGCGCTAGCTCTCGTTTTACATGCCTTTGCTACCTGGATGAATCAGAAATTAAAGATGTTTATATGGATTTCTGCATTTGTTATATTAGTGTTCCGAGCAGAGCTGGCAATATTATTAGGACTTTTTCTTTTTGTATCTTTTTCCATGAGGCATATTTCAATTTTCACTATATTGAAAACAGCTATGCCAGCAGGCATCTGTGCATTAATGACTACATTACTTATTGACTCATTGTTTTGGAACAGAAGGCTGTGGCCCGAAGGCGAAGTTTTATATTTCAATGCTATATTAAATAAGAGTTCACAATGGGGAACATTGCCTTTTTTCTGGTATTTTTATTCTGCACTGCCGAGATTGCTTTTGGGATCGCTAATTCTTGTGCCATGGGGTATTCGTTGCTCACCACAGAGATCTTTAATGCTTTTATTTCCCGCTATAGGTTTTGTGTTTTTGTATTCTTTTTTACCCCACAAGGAGTTGAGATTTATCATATATACTGTTCCTATATTTAATGTTATAGCCGCAAATGCAATGTGCCAATTGCAGTACCAATATGCGAAAAACATTCGAGGGAAATTAGGATTTTTATTTGCTTTGGGTTTGGTTGTATTAAGTTTATTTAGCAGATTACTGTTTTCCAATGCAGCGTTTTGGAATTATCCCGGTGGTTTTGCTTTGAATAAAATACATGATCTAGTTCCATGTAACACTGCTAATATAAACATACATTTAGACAACTTTGTTGCACAAACCGGCGCATCTCGATTTGGTGAACTTTGTGATAACTGGGTTTACAATAAAACAGAATATCTCAAAATTGGCGGTATTGAAATGATGCAATTTTCACATATTTTAACAGAAGTGAATGATAAAAATAATGAAGTATATATTAAGAGTGGTTCACATAGTTTATTGGGTGAAGTGCATGGTTATGATGGTTTGGATATAAAATGGTTAAAGTTTCATATACTAATTCCTCTGAAAATTCCATACAGTTATTCAATCCGCAGAAGTGCAAAAGTGTATTTGTTACAGCGTACTTTGTAACAATTATCAATGTTATTATGCAGTTTTGTTATCATGCTAATGAAATATCATGATGAGGAATATTAATAGATCTTTTATAATTCATAGATGTGGACCCTTATTATGTACTTTTCAAATTGCTTACCTTTGTGAAACTACCATACCATTTACAACTGATATTGTGTAACGTGCAGCAACTGTAATTTAGTTTTGTGTAGTTGTTTTGGGTTCAAACAATATTCCAATGATATGGTTTATTCGTTTGCATAACACAGCTTTGAATTTTGGGCTTACAGCTTACATGGGCTGACTTTTAACAAAATGCCTTCAAAGCTCTTCTTTTTTATATACAGAAATTTTCAGCAAACTAAGCAGTTAAATTTGATTTGTATTCACGGAATTTCTGACAGTTGCTTTTGTCAATATGAATGAAGGAGTCGAATCATTTCAATCAGAAGCACTTTGTGTAAGACCTATATTTGTATGTATGGTAGCGATTCACAATAGATGACCAAACTTTCATGATGTTTTATCACTGTTAGGAAATTCGGCATTCACTCTATCAAAGCTGCCTCTGCCACCACAGTCTCAAAATAAGCTGTAGTAGCAATTTTCTTTAACTTATTTTATGAAAATGTACCATGAAATTAGGGAATGGGAGAATGTGTTTTACTGGCTTTTGTTTTGTGGCGCTGGTTACAGATTACCATCAATTTAGTGGTTTTGCAGATACCTCTTTAATTCGCTTGATTGCACTGTGTATCTGTTTAAGCTTTGAAAAATGCAGACATGATTTCGTTCCAATAAGGATAGGATTTGCATATTGATCCAGGGGGGAGAGGTAGGCCGACTTCATCATATGGCGAACCATGGCCTCTCGTCCGGTTACCACTCAATGTCGGTTAATGTATGGGATTAGTAAGCCAGTTATTTGTTTTTCGAAGCATGGACTTGAATGATTAAATAACTTGTTCACTCACAATTTTCCAGGAATGCGTTGAAATTGTCAAAGATATTGAAGATGGAAGCTTGATTCTTGGATTTGCTATCGGAGGTGGAATTGATCAAGATGCATCAAAGAATCCTTTTGTTGCAAATGACCCAGTATGTATCTCTCTAAAAAAAATTCACACACTTCTAGACACTAGAAACCTAGATAGTTCTACTCGCCTATAAATGTAATTTGCTAATTTTTTTTAGACAATTTGTGAAGTCTTAACTTAAATGGCTATTCTAAAAATATATCTGTAATCGTAATGTGATATTCCTTTTTTGCTAGACACAATTTATTTTGCTATTGCCTATTGCGATAGCTTTTGCCACACCTTTAGCATCCTAGCAGGTATTTTCTGTTCCTCTCAGTAATTGCCTAAACATGTATAAGCCTTGTGGTTCAGGCTAGCATTCTTCTCACCTACAATACTTGAAAAAAACTTTAACAAAGCAGGGTTTCAATTGTCATGAATGACTTATCTTTGTTTAATTTCATTCAATTCTTTCTTCAGGGTATATTCGTGTCGCGTGTCACAGAAAATGGCCCTGCTGAGAAGGCTGGTCTCAAGGTTGGTGATAAGATATTGCAAGTTAATGGATACGATATGACAATGGCAACTCAGAAGCAAGCAAAGAAAAAACTGACGAAAAATCAAAGAATAGTCAGATTGAAAGTTACAAGAAACAATCTCATGCCAACTGAAGACAGTGCTACACCAGTGCCAAAGTCCATCAGTGAGCAAAAGACTGTACAAGAGTATGTTTAATAATTACTCAACAAACAGCTAGTTGCCTTTGTACATCTGTACTGCTGAGGTATACAATTAATTGTAACGCATTTCTTAACACTGCGGTAAATCCACAATGTGTTCGTAACAGACAGAACAAAGACATTTCCGAGAATGCCTATATCAGCCAACACCAATGACTGTATTCCACCATCTGTCCAAGATTGTTCACTTGTTAAGCAGTAAATATTTCTGTAGATATCATTTGTTCTCAATATGTTTGAAAAGTATTTTCTGCCGACTCCCATAATAATGTCAGCTTCAAGCCAATTTTTTCCAATCAACATTTGATGTAAATGAAGACAGTAGACTGGGATTTTGGAGCAATAGAGGATTTAAAATTTGCATTTGCTTAGTTAAGGCATTGTAAATTATGGTACATTTTTGTTTTGCGATTGTGTTTTATCTAATGCCGTTAAATCAATTTTCTGTTCTGATTTAGCCTATGCTTTTGTAACTTTTTATGTTATGGTGCTTGAACTAATGTGCTCAAATCACCCTTTTTCATTGTGATTTTTTAAATCTTGTTATATTTTTTGCAACTAACTCATAAATTCATATACAATAAATCCTATACTATTGCTGCTATTGTGTCTGTAATAATATGAAAATATAAAATCAGTATTATCAATGATGGGTGTATAATATAATACTAGGATTGATAGATCCGGCGCGGCGGTGTGGCTCTCAACCGGCTAAGCGTTAGGAATACGCTCGCCACCGCACATCTAATTACTCTGCGTGGGTTCGCAGGTAATATGTAAATCCTATCCCAATACATTTATTCAAGTCTTTGCTTGGAGTGATGTGCTAGTGTGATACCTCTATAGTCCTAGCTAGGGGATTGGGTTGAGATGGAGTGCTTTGTCGTGTCTGCTGGGCTGGACATATACCGTGTTCCCCCAACAATAAGACTTAGGCTGAATTTTGAAAATGATTTTAATAAGCTTTCCTCGTAAAATAAGACTTATTCAATACAAAAATTCAGTTAAACAAAATCTTCATTGAAATTTAAGAATTAAGTCACTATGACGTGTTATAAATAAATGGATATCGGTTTTCATATTTTGTTTATTTGAAAATATTGTCTTTTAATTTTGTTTTTGATGAAAGAGAATATAGGACATGGCTGCGCGGGCCGCATCCGCCCGCCCTATAAAGTTAGTAAGCAGACATTTTTACGTTGTTAAATAGGCGTAAGTATTTGTTGTGATAATTCTTGCAATCTATCTACACCCAAATGCCGTTTCTTATTATTACGTATGTGTCAAGTCTTGCGCCCTGGTGGACATCGACGTTAGTTTTTTTTATATTTCTTTGTTTCTTGCAGAACTGTGCGTTCTGTTCGACCAATGACATTGGTCATCATTGGTTCGACGAACTCGGGGATATTGTGCGATCATTAGGGACGAACGCTGAGCGTAATTATTGGAAAGAATTTGGAGCCTAAATTTGCAAATTATTTTTATTCTGATTGCTTTCTTTCGTGTCAGCTTTGATCCTCTTTGTCGCCAACGTAAAATAAAAAGGCAACAATATCTATAGTACTGGTTCCGGGACTCGTTGTCCTTTAATTTTTTGTTTATATCATGTTTGCGTTGAATAAGATTTTGGAAATGTCGTCACTGCGTATCCGTCAATAATTCTGATAAAATTGACCTAATGGCATTGCTACATATTTAAATTAGAGTGCTCTCGAAGTATCCGTACCAAGATGGCGCACAACCTGAACATAGTATGTGTACCAGGTTAGGGTTGTTCAGGTTGTGCGTCATCCTGGTACGAATACTTCCGGGAACTCTAAATAGTGCATAAATTCGTCCAGAAATCTTTGTTATGTTAATTCATTAAATACATGTATTGATGTTTCAAATTTTACGAAACGCTCCACTAAAACTTGATATTCCCGCGAGATTGGCGCACATTATGCCCATTTAAACACTGAGATAGTATCATAGCCACTGAAAATGATTGAATAAAAACACTAAAGCGCAAATATAACACTCAATTATGACGTCCTTGTTTGTTAGTGAAAACTGCATGTAGATTTTCGTGTGGTTGTCAGAAATCCGCAAGTGTGTTGCGTAATGAATATTTTGCCAGTTCTTCCCAGCCGTAACCAGTAAATAATTATTAACTTGATTGATTTTATGTTAATAAACTTGCCTTTTATGAATTATGTAAATTATACCGAAATCAGGACTTAGGAGGTTTTAAAGTTTGCGTCCCGCAACGAAAAAGGTTGGGCAAGCCCGATATAAGATATCCCTTGCAAATAAGCCCTAGTGTTATTTTTTGAAATGAAATTAAAATAAGGCCCTTTTCTCATTTTCGGGAAAACACGGTATCTACCGTTGCAAAAATGTGTCACCCTCTGGTGTTCTGGAATTGATAAACAAAAATAGGTGACGAAAAAACAGAAACGGCTCAGACATAAAATACCGTGTTTCTCCGAAAATAAGATAATACCCTGAATTTTGAAAATGAAATCCCCTCAAAATAAGACCTGGTCGATAGCTCGACATTTTTTTTTTTTGATCTAGTCGATAGCAAGGAATCTCTCTTGCACGACACCCACCCAAAATAAGTGTTATTTTTTGAGCTCATAAATAAACTTACTATTTCGTGGAAAGAGATTATGTTATTTATCTTTATAATACCATCTCGTTCAAGCATCATTGTGGCAACTGACACATACGGATCCGCAATAGAATGACTTGCAGTTCAGTACAAACTACCCTAGTACACCCCTTATTATTATATTCAGGGAAAAGGCCGAGTGCACCCGGAGGAATTTTAAGAATGGATAATTTTTGGGATATACGATGTCTGAAATGGAGTTTTTTCATCTGCCGCTGCGCTCTAAAAATATTATGGTGTTATATATTTCAAGTGTTTTACAACACCGCTATTCAGTCTTGATATTCGTGCCCTAATTTTCATTCGAAAACTTGAGTTGCGGATTCACTCTTAACGCGTTTTCACACTGGACGCATGCGGGCGAGAAAAATTACTAGTGCTTGCGAAAGAGAAATTTTTGGTAATGTGGTTTATCGAGACAAGACCCATGTTCACGGACTAAAGCAACACTTCTACTTCTCTCAAATTCAAAAAATTCCACCCTTTTACAATTAATGACAAAATAAAATGTACTGTGCACTGTACGCAAGTGAGTATTTGTAAAATACACTAAATAAAATCTAATTTGCAACGAAACAAAAAATACACAAAAAACATTCTAAAACCAAATGAAACAAAATAATAATAATATATTGGCGTGATATATCGAGGGTATTATCATTAAACATAACTGGACGAATGACATTCTAAAAGGACGTACCACCAACAAAAATAAACATATTATATATTTTATACAGTAAGCTTAAACACAAAAGTAACAAAAGATGGAACAATGGTGTAAGAAATGAAATGGGTATGACCATCGAAGAAGAGACATTTCCCCAACATACATAAAGAGTGATTTGATTGTTCCACGGTGCCAAATTCTAAGAAAATTTGTAACTAGGCAATCCATAATTAGCCTCAGAAACTGTATTAAACTTTTTAACATCAGGATTGTTAAGAATAAAAAAAACTTTGAAGAATTCCTAAGGTGTCCCTGAAAAACACTTCTGGTACAATGGAGTGAATAAAGTTAATAGAGAACATAAATGCTTTCGCATACATTCCTTATATACAAAACACATTAAAGTTCAAAGGGAAAAAATGATAAAATTTGTAATGAAGACAGAAGAAGAAAAGCTATGTTGGTCATCGAGTTTTGAAATACTTTTAGGCCAACAACAAGTCATGTTAATGAGCACCAAGCGATGTTTAAAATACAATATTAGTGAAACTTGAAAATAAAGAAGCAGCATATACATAACATGAAACCTTGAGAAATTTCTTCTTAGGTTTTTAATAAGGCACAGTATATAGTTCAATAAATAACGGTTTCCAGTATTTTAGTCCTAGAAAATTTAGTTATTTCTAACTAGGAATGTCGATGACTATTAAACATAGAATTCTCTAAAACTCTATTCCATGATACTTGAGTGTAAAAATTGTCGAATTAATTGGCAAATATAATTATTTTATAGTCAAAAACCTAGTTTAACTGATATGAAAACTTTAATCAATAGTATTCTTGAATTGCACTTTTAATTACTGATGCACAATAAATTTGATTGGACATCCTAAGTGGGTGCACATATTCATTTATAGCGTATTAAAATAAAACTAATATTATATTATATATAGTTCTTATCATCCTTAATAATAAATATATTATTTTCTTCCTTTTGTGTGCCCATTGGGAATTTTTAAGCCAATGGGATTAGGGGGAGTATCCCAAGTTCCCATTTTTTTTCTACTATTAGCAGCAACCTCGACCTTGCTTCCCAAATCTTCAACATATGCAAGGGCAGCACTGGCGCGATGAGTCTGTTTGTTAGGCCGCGCTGCATCATGGTTCATAATGATTTTTGTGCGATTTTTACGTCTCATTTCTTTGTTCGAATTTACATGACCCTTGTGATGTATATTTTGATTTTTAGAAACTTGAGTAATAGGAGCAGCACTTGGTGGTGGACGGTCATCAGAGGATTGGAATGCAACTGAAGCACAGTGGCCATTTGGTTTGACTGAGGTATGGTTTCGACCATGCCTTATATCCGCAATAAGGTGTTGCAGGTCTTCAATCATGTCCTCAGCACGTTGTACGTCTTCACTCAGACGAGAAATTTTACGACCAAGGCATGTGACAAGCACTGCCACAAAAACCATGATTTCAAGTATGATGAGGCATACATGCCGCTCAACTAGTTGCATGTTAAGTTGATCATGAGTTACTGACAAATTTCTTAACTGTTGAGTAAGCATTTTTATTTCTTCTTGTGCCTGGTGAATAAGTTCAGTTTGTCTTGCATCATTTTCATTTGCGGTACGTCCTGTGGAAAGCAGCTTTGAAGTTGTTTGATTAAAGGCTCGCTGCATCTCATCCATCTGTTTCTTATAACTTCGGCTCAAGGTTTCCAAATAAGCACTGCTTAATGACATGTTTTGTTCCAGAATCCTAATTCGATTGCTTAATCTCATGAAAACTGAATCTTTTTGATTTGTTCCAGGATTAATTACAACAGGATGTTGCACAGATTGATTAATATTGGATGCATTTTGAATTGCACTCTTAGTTTTGTTATCAACAACATTTGTGGCCTTATTTAATGCAGTACTGTTTTCAGATGAGATTTGTACATCTTCTATTGGCTGTTTTGTATTCACAATGTTATGATTTACCGCAGTGTCAACAATGTTGGCTGGTGTATGATCACGTCCTTGAGTGGGCACTTCCACCACTGTGTCAACTTCAGGCCTATTAACGCGATCGATTGGTTCAGGATTAAGTATCGTCTGTTGCGTTTCAGCAATTTCATCATTTTTATTTTTAATATTCTCATCATCTGACACAGAGTCCAAATTATTATGTTTTTCATTATTATCAAGAGCATCTTGATTTTTCTTACTTGAATCTGATAGCAAAACCACACCATTTTGCGTTTTAGTGTCACCGGTTGTCTTGTCATCTACTTCGGTTGGGTTATTATTATTTTTGATATTTTCTGGATTTGATATAGAAATATCTTCATATTTACCATCCTCGACTGTGTTCGATTTTATATCAACATTGGGCTCAATGTTTTCTTTGGAAGTTTCTGGAGGAGAGATAGTGATGTTGTCATGTCCTTTATCTGTTTCTGTGGGGTCTGATGAACTATTTTGCTCAACGGAAAAGTATTTACCAAGCCCGGAGAGAGGAACGAAAAGTCCAATAGCACTGTAGTTATAGGGATAATGAATAAGGCAGCTTGTAAGAGAAACTTTACAAAAAAATTCCAAAAACCAGCACACATTGGCATTGAGTTTTTGAGTAATGGGTGCCATATAACGTATGAATTTTGGTACATACAATGGGATTTTTCTTGCAGCACACGTCTGAATATTATTCTTTATGTAATCTGAAATCTCTTTGCCGTTTCCTGTTTCTATGAGAGTGATAAAACTCTGGGTCCCATTATCTTTAGGAGCAGCTATTTCGGTATCGTTTGTAACCAGTACCACCTCTGATTCGACAGATGGATCAATGTTATCTGTATCATTAGCGTCCGTGTGTTTTTCACTGTTGTTAGACTTGATTTGATCATTAGTTTCACTCTCAGCAGCATTATTCAAGACATGATCGACAGCCGTTTTAACCATATTGAATACTGTATTAATTGGACCACTATTTTCTTCACTAGCTTGTGAATTTTCTTTAAGACCGGTATCCTGAATATCTTCTTTGCTTACTGTGTGTTCAGCATCATCAAACTCATCCACCATTGAAACGCCGAGAACTCGTACCAGAGTTAAAGGACAGAAATGCTCATTTGAAAAATGACTGGACATGTCAAATTTAATATATTTTGCAAACATTTGGCCTTTTACTTCTGGTATAAAAGTTTGCAAGATCCTTTCATTTGTGGCATGAAACGTGCCTACTGTGTGCCATTCCCTAGCAGGATAACGTTCACTTACAGACACAGTGAATTCTTTCGGTGCTGATGAAAATAGTTCAAGGTTTCCCAGTTGTAACTGCTCAACTTGGATTGGTTCACATAGCTCTATAACAAACCAGATATTTGTCGAGCAAGGGTTCAGCATATACAAATCTCTATTTTCATCGAGAATCGCAGAGGTATGCTTAGCTTCTTCATTATGTGCCAAAACTTTAGCACCACAGTCCTGGGAAGCATAATTAACTTGAGTTTTTTTAGCTCTTATATTATGAACTTGAGATGGTTCCTCATAAGCTTTATTAGATTCTTGTTCTTGTAATTTTAGATTTTTCCATTCTTCAAAAGAATGCATATTATCGACTTCTAGTTTCATATCTTCCTCATTATCATCTGTCTTTTTGGTGGGATGATCAGTCATGTTTGTGTCATGAACGATTGATTTTTCATCCGCCGGTACATTTTTTACGGTTTCACCTTGATCTGCAAGTTTCGCAATCTCTTCTGTCTCAACAATATTTGGAACAGTTGTCACTTCCACACTTGGTTGCGCCTCAATCGGTGTTACAGATGTTCCAAAAAAAATTTCCGAGATATTATACCGACAAATGGGTTGACTAATCATCAATTTACTTTTATTTATAATTTTAACAGAATCTTGTTCTTCCTTATTTGTTTCCTCAACAGTTTTTTTGTCATTTTTTTCATTTGATGGTTCTATATTATCTGCAGTTACAACTTTTATTGGAGATATTAAATCATACGATTCCTCCTTTTGTCCGAACAGCTCAGACAGATCAGTTGGAGGTGCTGGTGTCACTTCATTCTTCATCATGTTCCCTTTTTCCAGCGGTATCGCACAGATGAAAATAATTATAATCAAAGATAATAATTTACAATTATCCATTTTATATACAAAGTACCCTAAGGTATGAATTGAAAACTATCTTTCATGCAACATTCTGTGAAGGAAATGAGTAATACCTTAAAATAATATTCGATTCAATTGAACGAGCAGAGAATCATAATTCTGAAGCATAAAGTATATAACATATTTAATAATGATAAAAAAGCGAAATGTTTTGATAATGAGGAAGAAGGTTGTTATAACCCTTTAAATCGTCAAATAGCGAGACTACCACCTTACCAGGATACAGCAAATTAAGCTCACTAGACCGAAAAATCATAGTCCTTAAAAAATCTAGCAACGTCTAAATGGCTACCTGTGAGCAACCCAACCATGAAACACTATAAACAATATCGTAAATGAAATAATATTCTGCAGTCAAGGATCAACTTGACTTTACCTATAAATTGAAAGTTGTGCAGTGTAGTATAGTACATCTCAGGACTATTGTCTTGTTTTCATTTGCATACAGGTATAAGAATCTGTGACCCTAAGAGTTCATGGAAAGATATTTATATAATATCATTTATATGACATATTAAATGATTTATACCTAAGGGAATTTCAAAGCATTAGTGAATATTATCATCATGTCTTAAGATTCTCTGAATATCATAAATTTTATATCTTATTAAGGTCTTATAATGAGAAAATTGAAGATAATTTTCCTTGCAAACAAGGTTTTGGACTATTTGAAGATACATATTTTAAACATTATTTAAAATCGAACGTTGTAACTTTGGGCCCTTAGCAGTACATTTACGGCATAATATTGCAAGTTTGAGGTAAACAAAAGGATTATTTTATCGCATACTTTACAAGTAACAACCCCATTGGATAACTCACAATGAATAATCACAAAAGAAGTCTGGATGGATATAAATTCTCAATTACAGTACCTCAGTTCAAATGTAGTGTTTATATATAAACTAGTTCCTTATTTAATGATTTCAAATGTTTAATGCTTGAATAAAAAATGGTAATGAACTATGATCTATGTGAAGTTTTGTTATAATAATTGCGTCATTAGAGTATGATATGAGAGAACCAAAGCCAATCCAAAGTTGGTAAAAAAAGATACAGATGAAGGATGAACATGTATCATACATAAATATTTTATGGCTTTGTCTCTACAGCTGATCTCAGCTGGGCTTCATAATTTTTAAGCATGTTAAGTCACTTTTAGCAATCATTGTCATATGCTGATAAAAAATAGTCTAATCGTAACTTGAATATAAGAGCCTAACATTGTTTGATTGCTTGCTTGTTCATCGTGTTATATTACAGAACCCAGGTACCAGAGTAAGGTACTAACAATATTTGGGTCAAATTACATACAAAGCACTGCAGCAATCAAACACACAAAAACATCGCAGTTGGTCGACAAAGATATTATCGACCTATTGGAAATGCCCACCCCCATTCCTCCTTCTTTAAATGTAGAAACGCGAAACTTTAAAGATGGTTAAAAGAAACACAACTCTACCCACCCGACAAGTTTCATCTTTTTATCTCTTATAGCCTATTTCTATGGATTTTCAAGCTTTCCTGCAGGGACAATGGGTTTCAAGCTTTCCTGCAGGGACAATGGGTAGTTGGCAACATGAAAAAATTGTCCGCTTTTTCTCTTCGGTTGGATTTTCGGTCGTAACTTTGTGTCGTATTTCAGTGCAATTTCGCAGAGCTACAGGGATAAGTGGACGATAACGCGTGAGAAATATCATCGTGATTGATTAATTTTTTCGGCATTGATTAAATCGATCAAGTTGACGAACGCAAATAGGTCGTAGCCGCAAAGTGGCTAAGACACCCTATGTGACTTAGGCCCAATTTTCGGAGCTGGTATAGTTTAGTACCTCAAGTACTTCCGGTGGGCGTAGCATAACAATTTTTTGATATGTCAATCCTAACCCCCCACTGACTACGCCATCCGAAAATTACATCACAATCACGCCATAGAGCTTGCCAAATATAAGTACGATCGACCGAAATGGTATTGGCGCCGACGATAAAGAACTGACTGACATTATCGATCTCTCTCCTATTGGAATCGTTGCAATGAGAAAACGAGAGAAACAACTGTTCGATTTCGGGTGCTCGTTTGCGCGTCTTGGATGGCAGTTCGTATAGTTTGCGTACCTGACCACACCATCCAAAAATTATGTCACTACGAGGTCAGAGTGACGTAATAGAGCCCTTCAAACTATGCAAATTGTCATCCAAGACCAAGACGCACAGACAAGAACCCGAAATCGAACAGCCATTTCTCTCATTTACTCGTCGCAATGATCCCTATAGGAGAGAGATCGCTGACGTTAGTCAGTTATTTATCGTCGGCGCCGATGACATTTCGGGCGATCGTACGAGGTGAGGGTTAGGATTGGCATGTCAAAAAATTGTTATGCTACGCCTACTAGAAGTACGTTAGGTACAAAACTACACGAGACCCGAAGTATGTTAGGTACGAAACTACACGAGACCCATATCGGGATCGTTGCGATGAGAAAACGAGAGAAATAGCTTGTTCGATTTCGGGGTCTCGTGTAGTTTCGTACCTAACATACTTCTAGTGGGCGTAGCATCACAATTTTTTGACATATCAATCCTAACCCCCACCTGACTATGCCATCCAAAAATTACGTCACTACGACATCACAATCACGTCATAGAGCTTGCCAAATATACGTACGATCACCCGAAATGGCATCAGCGCCGACGATAAAGAATTTACTAACGTCAGCGATCTCTCTCATATTGGATCGTCGCGACGAAAAAACGAGAGAGATAGTCGTTCGATTTCGGGTGCGCAGACGAGCGCGTCTCGGATGACATTTCGTATAGTTTAAGGAGCTCTATTACGTCACTGTGACGTCGTAGAGACATAATGTTTGGATGACGTAGTCAGGTGGGGGTTAGGATTGACACATGCAAATATTGTTATTCTAAGCCCACCAGAAGTATGTTAGGTACGAAACTACATGAGACCCTGATTTCGGATGATCGTCGGCGCGTTTTGGACGACCATCCGTACACTTTGGAGGTCTTTAACACGCCACTGTGACGTAATTTTTTTGGTGAAGTAGTCAGGTGGATTTTAGGAATAACATATGCAAAAATTGTTGAGTCAGGCAAATTAGAAGTATACCGGTATCTGTAGACTATAATATGTTGTACTAAACTATACCAGACCCCAATTTCCATTACCGGTACCGGTACCGTACTACGACTACAGTCAGCAGTATTCTGGTTTCGGAAGCGTACCCGTGCCGGTACATCAGTTCGAAATAAATCAGCTGTAGCCTATAACAGTTGCCTATCAAGTATCAGTATTTAAAAACTAGAATAACGATTAGACTACTGGACTAATATACCGGTACAGATGTACGGCCGTAACGTCACCTTCTTACGGTACGGTACCTTACTCGTTCACATTTCAGACTAAGGATGATGTCGCAGAATTACTACACGTCACATAAGACCAAAGCTGGTTATACCTTTAGTATAAACATTTCTGGTGAAATCAAATGGCCACTGCGCGTTCCGATACTTGCAGACTGGTGGGTTGACACGATAATTTTTGATTCTGGGGTTATATACTGAAATGTACACGAAATGTACATACCGTAACTATTGTTTTGATATTACCGGCATTTAGAAATCACCCTGGCTGTTTGCTCAGGGATAAAGGAAAGAACTGCTCTATTTTCGTAATACTGATGAAAGTTTCAGACTTTGAACTGTTGTGAAACAACTTTCATTACTGCATTAGGATAGACTTTACATTTTTATCCCGGCGGACAAGAAAGCCGCTAATGCGGCCCAACTTATCAGATAGTTATAATAATATAGATTATATCAGTGGTTCCCAAACTTTTTTGACCATCGCCCCCCTAAAGTAGTTTATACAACTTCATCGCCCCCCTGCACTACATTAAAATATAAAGTCAGAAACGAATATATTACAGACCAAATAAGAAGACAAATCATAGTTTATAGTGCTTTTTAATGAGATAGATGAGCTTGGTGTTCTTCAGCGAGTTTTTTATTATATCTAAAATTACCCCGTTTACTGATGGAAAGGTGATTTCGTTGTTTTAATAGCAATAGTAGCACGGCTGAAAACCCCCTTTTTACCATAAAATAATTCGGAAATGAAAGAATCCAGGGTTCTACCTCCTCAAAAACCGCCGTGTACCGGTACTCTTGCTTTATAGCATTTCACTCCCTAAATTCACCCCATTTCACATTAAAATAATAAAACCAAAGTTAATTTTCCCAAACTTATAATAATGATTTTCGTACATCTCATTCATTCGTACAGCCTGATGACCTGCACCAAAAAACTTCGGAAAAATTCATCCCCGATTCCTCATCCTATCACGGCCTCCAGTCCGATCACCAGTCCATAATTAACCAGCCATTTGTTTTTGGATTCATAGACTCGGATGTGGAAGAAGCCGTGACTGACTATCGGCTACGGCCCAGGGGTCGGCAAATTTTATGTCGCTCACAGGACAAAATTCAGGGTTGCTAGTATTTTGCGGGTCGCATATATTTTTCGAAAGGTAAAAACGGATTAGCGCGCAAAAACTGCGACAATTCGTGAACTCAACTCAGTCGTCTTATTAAAAAAATATTACAATGACATTTATTGTGACACTGTCTTGTTGCTGCATCACGCTGGATAGCTTTACGACGCCAAGATTGAAACATTTTCTAAATGAGCATCACCAAACCCACTTTTTTGCTTGTTGGACACGTTTAGTGGCCATAACGATCGTTTCAATGTTATGTTGTTGTTGTTGTTCTTTGACATGTTTTTAAAAAGTCGCTTTTCTCTTCGAATACTGGACCAATTGCTTTCAAATTTTCAGTGGTTGAAGATAAAATTTTTCTCCAGAAGGCTATCACTTTTATTTATTTCAAAATTTTGCGTGAATTCTATGAAATTTGATATTTCGTCTAAAATTTTGCAGTATTATTTTTTATCCATGGGAACACGGATTTTAGTCAGTGTCATGACTGGCTGTACGTTTTGATTCTGCAAAATTCTTG